AGCGAGGGTAGTAAAACTGCTACGGCGGGGCGTCGGTGGGGAAGCCAAGGAAGGCGCAGCGGAGAGTGCGAGGAGAGAGCTTGCTCGCGGTGGTATCGCGAACAAGGGAGAGCGCGCCCCAGACCCGAAATGCCGACGCATCGCCAACCTCTCCCGTCCAACGGAGTGTGGGTGAGGTCTCTGGCAAAGAGACACGAGGCCAGAGGTTGAGCTGATGCGCGGCGTATCGGACCGCAAACAACCACAGAAAATGTGGAGCAGCCGCATGGATGATGGAAGTGCGAGCAACCTCCATCACCAAGCCAATGCGGCACTCTGCAATCCCATTCCGTTGTGGAGAGGCCGGAAGTCTGAACGTCTGGCGGATGCCCTGGGATCGACTGAACTCCGCAAGGAGGCCAGAAGAGAACTCACCGCCCCTGTCAGAGTGCAAACGCAGGACTGGAAGGTCCCGCCGAAACCGCTCGCGCAGCTGGAGACGAGCAGCGCGGATCCAGGGGATCAAAACACCAGTGACGTCCGCCTTGCTGCGCAAGGGGAAGACCGTGGTGTAGCGCGAGTAGTCGTCAACGACCAGCAGGAAGTAGTGCTCCTGGTCCGTCCCAGTGACGCAGGCTGGGCCCCACATGTCCATGTGGAGAGTCTGTAGAGGAGCAGTGGGCGGAGGAAACTCGGAAGAGTGAGGAGCGGCGCGCTGCCGCCCCTCAACGCAGGGAAGGCACGGCGGGGCAGGCGAGCGCGGGAGGGGGGGCAGAGATCTGGGAAGGTCAGAGATAAGGAGACTGGAGTGCATGCTGTGCATACGCGGCAGAGAGGGGTGATCGAGTCGGTGGTGCCATAGGAGAGTCTGGTGGGAAAGTACCCGACACGAGCAAGACGCTGCAAGCTGACCAGACTCAGACACCTGACCTGATGCAGCCACCTGTGCAGACGCAGTGGTCAGGGTGTACAGACTGGACCCAGGCTGCCGAGTGAACGTAGCAAGGTGATGTCCAGTCCGGGAGCACGTACAGATCGCCACACGCCGCCCTCCAGGGATAAAGGTATCAACCCAAACATCCTGAAGGACTGCGTTGCTCACCAAGTTCGTCGAGAACGAGGGGAGGTGGAGGCCTGAAAGAGAGCCGGAAGGGACTGCCAGACACGGGAGGACAGTGGAGGCTCGCGCTACTACTGGGCCCCCAGTGGGGTTAGCCAGTGAGACTGGGACAAGTGCTGCAAGCGGTGTGACTGTGGTGCAATCACGAAAGAAGCAGCGTGACGCTCCTGAGTCAAGTGTGAAAGTGTGCAATGCCTCAGCTTAGGCAGGACAAGTGGCGGTAGACGCACTACCACCTAGAGCTGCAGCAGACTCACTAGCACCTAGAGCGGCAGCAGACTCACTAGTACCTAGAGCAACAGCCTCTACACAACCAGGGATGCCTCTCTGAGAAACACAGTCGCGAAGGCGCTGCGGGGAGAAGATCTTCTGCTGACGTTGCTGCCGTCGATGTCCAGTACTCGTAAAACCATAACCTCCACCATCTGGAGGGCCTCGCTGAACGATCCACTCACGAATCTGCTGTGGCGAGAGAGTGTCCGGGTGCGCGGGCTGCCGCTGCTGTCCAGCACCTCCAGCACGATGACCTCCACCACTAGGACGGCCTCGCTGAATAACCCACTCACGAAGCTGCTGCTGTGATAGAGTGTCTGAGTGAGGCAGTAGCTACTGTTGTCCTCCCCTGGACGCTGCTACGATCGTGGCAGTGGCCATGACAGGCAGTGGCAGTCAGTAGCAGCGGCGCAAGGGCGGTGATAACGACTGCTGTAGCTGCAGCTGTAGTAGTAGCGGTGGTCGCTGTGGCTCTAACAGTAGGAGCGACTGTTGGAGTGGCTGTGGAGGCCAGTAGGGTGCGTGGGCAGCAGGGCACGGGCTAGCGCAGTAACAGCAGCAGTAGCAGCAGTAGCGCCAGCAGCTGCAGGGCAGGGCGGCGCGCGGGCCTAAGGGCAGGGCAGCGCGGCTTGCGGGCTGCAGGGCAGGGCAGTGCGGCTCTAAGGGCAGGGCGGCGCGCGGGCCTAAGGGCAGGGCATCGCAGCGCGCGGGCTGCAGGGCCGGGCAGCGCGGCTCGCTGGCTGCAGGGCAGGGCAGCGCGGCTCAGGCGGCAACAGCAGCCTAGCAGAAGTAGCAGCTCAGCAGTAGCAGCAGCTTAGCAGCAGCAGCAGTGCAGCAGCAGTAGTACAGGTGCAGCAGCAGCTAAGGCGGCAGCAGCAGCGCAGCAGCAGCAGCACAGGTGGCAGCAGGGGCTCGGCAGGGCAGAGCGCAGCTGCAGTAGCGCGAGTAGCAACAGCAGTAGCAGCAGCAGTAGCGCATGCAGCAGCAGCAGTAGCAGCAGCGCGCTTAGCAGCAGCAGCGCGTATCAGCGCGGACGGGCAGGGCGCACGCATGGTGCGCGTGAGTGCAGGTGGGGTGCGCGCGGGCAAGGCGCAGGCCGGGCGCAGGCTGCTGGCGGGCAGCGCGAGCAGGCAGGGGCGCAGTGGCGCTCGCGAGCAGGGGCGCAGTGGTGCTTGCGGGCAGGCAGAGCGCTCGCGGGCGGGCAATGCGCTAGGCAGCAGGCAGAGCGACTACGGGCAGGGCAGGGTAGCGCGATTGCGGGTGGGGCAGGACAGCGCGATCGCGCTAGAGGGGCAGCACGAAAAACAGCACATGCGGCAGCACTAAGGGCACTCGCGGTGCAAAATGAACAGTGCGCCCTCAGAGCAGCGCGCTACGGGCAGTTATAACCTAGCATGGTGGGCCCAAGAACACTAGGAACGGAGTAGGAAGGTACATAGACTCTAAAACCATGTTAGAAGTAGCGAGAAAGTGATGGTCGATTAGATAAGGGGGGGGGGGGTACAAGAGTGTCGAGAAAAGTGTTGTACCCTCTAAAGATAACCCCTACATAGCATAGAAATATAGAAAGCATATAATGTTTTGACACGCACCATACTAAATTGACGAATCATGACGCACCAATTTCCGACACACTTTCTGAAATTCGAGAAATTTATGCACGAGTAGCTGTGCCAAAAACAGTTTTGCCTAAACCAGTGATTATTTCGGCGCTTGTTTGGAACATTTCTGGTAGATAATTCTACCGCACAGCCGGGGCAAAATTTATATACCCCTTTTGGATGGCAAGCGACGCTGAGAGCTTCAACCCTAAACACCTTGCGACAATGCATTTAGGGCTTGTTTATAAGAAAAGGCATGCTATTCGGGAGGGGTATGTTTTTATCCCGCCTGTACAATTATCTAAACCTTGCAATAATTACACATTGTTCAAATTTTATAATTTTGTCGCTTTTCCGGCAAAATTTGACAACTTTACATATGTGCAACCATGCCAGAAAAAAACTGATTCTTACATCTAACTTTTTTTTGCGAGCTGAAAAGCGCTATAATACGGCTCCGAAAATATATAATCCATGGTTATAAAAAGAACGCGTTTTCTCAAAGTCACGACTAGAATCGTTCGAAACATTTCAATCGGTGCGTAATGTTTTCATACCAAACAAATCTCCCGAATTCAGGGTCATTTCAGGCGGTAGTTTCAACTAGTTACCATTCGCGTGATCATTCGCCTGTGTCGAGTTACCAAATGCGTGAAACGAGTTACCAACCGCGTGAAACCCTACTGTGATAGGTACCGTACGCGTTGTAGAGTCCCTTTAATGTTACCATTGGTATACTTTCTCTTATTTGTTCGTATAGGTGTGTTGATGGAAAATCCGGAATCCCGATTCCACCATTGTGTTCAATTCTGTCATCTAAGAGCCAGTATTCGACTGGTCCCCGTCCAAACCGCTATGACATGCCTGTCAATGCCTAAAAGACTAGAAACAGTTCACACATTGCTATGTTCAAGGACTTGACCAAGGAGGTGAGTTTGGAACACTTACAAGGGATTGAACTCGCAATTGGGAATGTTCATCGCATCTGTTTTTGCGAAAGTTCAAGTGAGCCGACCCAGCGACAGTGTGAGACGTCGTCGTCAATTGAGCCTGGCCAACTGGCTTGACGACAAAGGCCAGCTGGGTTCACATTTCGTACGACTGGGTGTGGTCGCAATGGGGGTGCGGGGGGCGAAGAAAACTCACGGGTTCGTGAAAGCGACTTGGATTTCCCTGCCAGCGCTAAACGCCAGATTGGTTACCCGTTCTCAGGTTAGAGAATTGGATACGTTGGCGCAGATGCGTGATTCTCAGGAGACTAGTCGGGCCGTCGAAACAGCCCGACGGTCCGTCATACGCCCAGGGGAATAATATTTTCTGCCCAAGGTCAATCAACGACAGTACGTTTGTCATTGGCGCGCCGTCGGTTTCAGACGTCTAGTATCGACGCTGGCCAATTAATAAGTTAAAATGGTCAATCAGTCGACCGTTGAGATGCATCTGTTGGGGCAGAGAAAACCTATCGACATGTGCACGGCTTGGAACTCAAGATGCAAGGGTGGATCCAAGGAGCTAGAACGGTTCAGAACGATTGAACACACTTAGCCTGACAAGCTTCACATGGCATGGGAATTGGTGCCACGTGGGAGAATGTGGGGAAGTGCCCTCTCTTGTTTCTATAACTTTCCTGTCTGAGGCACGGAGGGTTGGAAAGTGCCCTATACTTGCACTGTAGTCCCCCTCAAAGCGCAGGGTCGCTAGTCCGAGCCCTACCAAAGCTACTGCCATGTTTTCATCCTGCATGTGAGATGTTCCTTAGACTTGTGCTAAGGACGTACAGGAGAAACAAACAAACGAATGGAAACTAAGCACCTGTAAGACATTATTGTAACCAGCATCTCTTAGACACTGTAATACATCTGGATGACAGGGGGGCGAGGGCTTTAAAATACAAAATAGCAGAACAAATTTCAAATGGGGCGTGTGGGATACTACGAGCCTTTGGTTCTGAGGCAGGCCCATTGCCGCAAACAACCAAATCAAATCCGATGGTAACGCGACTGCGGTAGTTACAAATGGTAACTGGGTTACTTCTTCAACGGCGTGCCGGCGGCACCATAGTCGCAGACACCAGCGATGCAGGTTCCGCGGCAGAACCTGCCGCATTTGCCGCAGTTCTTCTTGTCGGTAAGCAGCGAGGTGCAAGTGGCCGAGCAGCACATGAAATCGGTGGCGCAGTATCGGTTGCAGCTGCCGCAATGATTTGGATCCGACTTCAGGAAGGTGCAGAGACTGCAAGCACAGAAAGAAAGGAATCAGTTAGAAAAGCCGAACATGGATCGAAACAGAGAAATAGGAAATAAGGTGTAACAGAAGATGCCCAATTATTTTAGCACTTACGAGCCACAGAGGGTTTGGTTCTGCAGGCAGCCATTGGGCTGGAGCACCACGTCTCCAGTAGTGCCAGTGCTCCCAGATGTTCCAGTGATGCCACCGCCGTTGGTGCTCCCACCGCCGTTAGTGCTGCCGCCACTGTTGGTATTTCCGCCAGCGTTGGAGCTGCCGCCGCTGTTGGTATTGCCGCCAGCGTTGGAGCTGCCGCCGCTGTTGGTATTGCCGCCAGCGTTGGAGCTGCCGCCGCTGTTGGTATTGCCGCCAGCGTTGGAGCTGCCGCCGCTGTTGGTATTGCCACCAGCGTTGGAGCTGCCACCGCTGTTGGTACTGCCGCCAGCGTTGGAGCTGCCACCGCTGTTGGTACTGCCGCCAGCGTTGGAGCTGCCACCGCTGTTGGTGTTGCCATTGGAAGCGGTGTTGCCGTTAGAGGCAGTGCTGCCGCCGCCGCTATTGGTGTTCCCGTTGGAGGCGGTGTTGCCGCCGGAAGTGGAGCTGCCGCCACCGCTGTTAGTGTTGCCGTTGGAAGCGGTGCTGCCTCCGCCGGTGTTCGTGTTGCCGTTGGAAGCGGTGCTGCCGCCGCCGGTGTTCGTGTTGCCGTTGGAAACGGTGCTGCCGCCGCCGGTATTCGTGTTGCCGTTGGAAGCGGTGCTGCCGCTTCCGGTGTTCGTGTTGCCGTTGGAGGCGGTGCTGCCGCCGCCGGTGTTCGTGTTGCCGTTGGAAGCAGTGCTGCCGCCGCCGGTTTTCGTGTTGCCGTTGGAAACGGTGCTGCCGCCGCCAGTGTTCGTGTTGCCGTTGGAAGCGGTGGTGCCGCCGGAAGCGGTGGTGCCGCCGCCGCCCGTAGCGGTGGTACCGGTGGTCTTCGTGTTGCCGTTGGAAGTGGTGCTGCTGCCACCAGCTGCAAGAATCCTCATCCGCCGTAGGCGTGCATTACCACGTGACGATCGGACAGCGAATCGCTGCACAATGACGGGAGGGAAAGGCAGAGAGACGGAAGGCCGACACATTCAGGCAACAAAATTAGGATGGGAGCTGGCAAAGGCGAAAGAAGACTTCGATAAACGGGAAGAGGTTTGGGATCTGGAGAGTGAACCACTAATGGACCAGAATTCTCCGACCGGCCAAGGCGCCTTTAGCGGGCAACACGGGCTAAAACTAACGCCAACGCTACGATCTTGACGAAGGTGAGCAGCTGACTGACCTCGAAATCGGCGTTCAGGCCAATATCATCGACTGATGCGGCGCCAAACTCAGGCAAAAGCGCAATAACCAGCAGGGATACGGTAATGACTTGGAGAAGCTGAGAGATCTTCATCGTCTCTCTCCTGCCCTAATCTGCTCGAGCTGTCTTAACCTGTCAGGGGTTTGTACCCTATTTCTCGGGGAGGTAATGTGCTTATGAGATACAGGAGACCTCCTTCTAGACTACTGGAGAAGATCTAGGAGCGGTTGGTGATAGATGGGGAAGGAGTGGGGTGATGCAACTGCAAAACTTGCAAGATCAAAGTCATCTAGAGGTGACTTCTCGTACGCCTGTCCTACTGATGGGGCTAGGCTGGTTAGGGCTGTTGCTGTCGTATCCGCAACGTAGATTTTGACTACGTGCCTGGCATGGGCAGCCTCGCTCGTTCAGTTCTTCAGGTTCTGATGAAACCACCTGCGCGAGTCAGGCACATCCCAACGACAGGACGCCAGCATTCGCAACTCTAATTTCCCAGGTGTGAGCTTCGAAGATGTGGCGAGTCGCAGGATTGACCAATTCGTTACGAGCGAAGGCTCGATCTTTACGAACTGGTTACAAAGTAGAACGAAATAGTCGCTCTCATTCGTTCTGGAAAAAATGGTGTACCAATTCCACTGAGAAAATTGTCGCCAGCCTTCGTTGATCCAAGCATAATTTCGTGACAGATGTTCTGGACGTCCGAACCATCGGAAAATGACAAAAGTCCTCCAAACCCAGCGCCGCTGAGTTTTGGGGGAGAGTTTCTTCAGGTGGGTGAGCAGCGAGGTTGTACAGTAGCCTCTCAGAAATGAGAAGCGACAATACTTCTGGACAGTGGGACTCCACCAACCTCGGGCAATGCGTTTGCTTGACAAATGAAACGGAATGGTAGGAAAACGGGACAACAGCGTCCCTGCGTGTCCTCCAAGGATTACCCCTATATAGAACTTCAGCGTTGCTGTGTTTAGTACAAAGCACATATGCAGCATACAACTATGTCATACAATACTTCTAGATGTTCATTGCGATCCCACAGATTTACAAGTCACACTACAGACTCTGCAGGTCTAAAACATATGAGGATTGCAACATGTACAGACAAAACTCATAAATTTATCAAATTCGTTAAACTAGCATCGAATGTCGATGAGAACCTTGGGAAAGGGCTTACACCGAGGTCCATCGTACGTATGTGGGTCTATTATGTTGGATGAGATTGCGTTGTAATTAGTGTACACTTACGTTTCACCTACGTTAGAAATGAAAAGGAATATTTGATCAGGAATCGGGTCGACGGTCCCATTTGGCAAGGAAATGGGACCGTTGAACCACCGTCGAGTGTCGACTTTGCTAACCCCGGGCAGGAAATTAAATACACCCTAAACGTTGGAATAACCAATTATTATTATAACATTCCCGAAGGTTCTCTTTAGCGCACCACTTCATAACGAAGCAGCACATTTGTACTAGTACCGCGTTAGCTGGTATAGAGCATGCGAAGGTTAACAGTTGCGGGACAGTCAATGGAAGCGACTGTTGACCACTTCGCAACTGTAATCGGATGTTACTGAAAAGATTAGGAGGTAGAGAAGTTTAGAATGAAGAAGAAAGGAGGGGGTTCACTAGAAAGCAGCAGGATACATATAGGAAACCCTAAGGGGTTGTACTCGCTATAGAGTACCCCACTGCAGGCTAGAGAACAATGACATTCTGACACACCCCCATAGCCAAAGTGGGGTGTAATCAGCAGAGCAAGCAAAGCAGAACAAGCTCAGGGTGGATCACAATGTCACCACACATTCTCAGCACAAGTACAAGAAGCAATAGTTTAAAGTTCACAATTATGAGCAAAGCTAGAGGCTTTCGCAGAGGGCAAGTGAGGAGGAGGAGGCGAGAGTGAGAGGAGAGGAGATAGGAGGCGACGGCTGAAGCTGCAGACACACGGGCAACAAGAGTCACACTGGCACAGCGGCTACCGGAACAACGCTCCGGACTACTGGAGTAACTGGCTCCGCGGCTAAAAGTAGCGGCAGACGAGCAACGGACCCACGGGCGACTGGCACAGCTGGCTGCGACTGGGCTACCGGAGCAACTCCCCGGACTACAGGTGCTGCTGGCGACACGACGGCAACCTCAGTTCAACCTCCCCAAACAGTCCCACTCCCCCTGACACACACCCCCTGCTTCACCCCTAGCTCCACTCCCCCTTCACCCCCCTTAGTACCACTCCGACGGCTCCAACAGGTCCACCCCCCTCAGCGGCAGCTGCAGCACTGGGAGACGGAGGAGGAGGAGGAGCAGGGGACGGCACACAGAAGCTGCACCCCCATACCCCCCACCCCCAAACCCTAATTCAGGAGAACGGGCAGCAGCAGGGGTGGGGCGCCATCAGAAGCACGGGGGACAGCGGGCAGCGCAGGGGCAGCGAAGAACGGGCCGCCCACGGGCCTGGCACAGCCGCCCGAACCGCGCGCAGGCGGCCCGAGCCGCGCGCGGGCCTGGCGCAGCCCGTACGGGCCGCGCGCGGGCCTGGCGCAGCCCGTACGGGCCGCGCGCAGGCTGTACGAGCCGCGCGCAGGCCACGACGGGCGACGGGGGGCGACGCGCGGGTCCCCGTCGCCCGTCGCAGCGCCTCCCGGGAGCGACGCGCGGAGTGACGGGGCAGAAACCCGCCGCGCGCCTCGGGGCGCACGGCGGGCAGACAACCGCCGCGCGCCTCGGGGCGCACGGCGGGCAGAAAACCGCCGCGCGCCTCGGGGCGCACGGCGGGCAGAAAACCGCCGCGCGCCTCGGGGCGCACGGCGGGCAGAAAACCGCCGCACGCTCCGAGCGCGCGGCGGGATGAAAAATCCGTCGCACGCCACGGGGCGTGCGACACAGAGAGTAGCAGTAGCAGCGGAAGCAGTGAGGTGGTGAGCCCACCCACAGGATCGACCCAAGGGGATCGACCTGCTCTGATACCATGAAAAGATTAGGAGGTAGAGAAGTTTAGAATGAAGAAGAAAGGAGGGGGTTCACTAGAAAGCAGCAGGATACATATAGGAAACCCTAAGGGGTTGTACTCGCTATAGAGTACCCCACTGCAGGCTAGAGAACAATGACATTCTGACAGTTACGTACTGCAACATGGTAACTGTCGAGTATCGCAATAGTCGCGGTTACTACAGCAATGCAAAACAGTTAATAAGTGTCAAGAACTGAATGATTTTTTACTAAGGTTGGTTAGGGTACATAAACCTAACCCTAACTACTGTACCCTATATGGCGCGCATCACTAAAGGCTACAACATTTGACACACCCTCATAGCCTAAATGAGGGGTGCCGAGCAAAACCAAAACCGTACGGTCACAAGACCAGTCACAAAACAAGAAAGCTCAGGGTGGATCACAGCGACACCACACAGTTTGAGCACTAGCAAAAGGGCCACAAGGCCAGTTCAAGAGTTCACAGAGGTATAAGCAAAGTGTACAAACAAAGTAAGTAGAGAATCCAAGTCTACACAAGACGAGAACTTGTGTCAACGAGACCTAACTGCACACAACACCTCTGGTGGTCACAAGGCGGAAGGGCCTTGGTGAAGATGTCTGCAGTGTTGGTCTCGGACTCCACAAAGTCGAAGCGAGCCTGTCCACGCATCTGCAACTCTCGTAGAAGAAAGTACCTGATGTTGATGTGCTTCACTTTGCTCTCCAGTCGCGGCTCTCGACAGAGGAGAATCGATGCCTTGTTGTTAGTGAACAATGTCGGTGCAGAGCTCGGCCGCTCACCAAGGTCAATTAGCAAGAAGGTCAACCAGCGCAGCTCCTGTGCAGCCATGGCTCCAGCGTAGATCTCAGCCTCAGCGGTAGAGGTCGAGACTGAGGAGGAACGCGTGGACCTCCACGAAACAGCTCCAGAGTCCAGGCTGAAACAGTACCCTTGAGTAAACATGTGAGTCTCGGCGTCGTCAGCGTAAGAAGAATCACAGTGACCAGTAAGTACGACAGACTGTCTCCCTAGAAGGCTCAATCCAAACACCCACGTGACTACTCACGAGCGGCCTCACACCCACCAAGTTCCTGGAGAACAAGGGGACGTGGAAGCCCATCAGGAAACCCGAGGGAACAGCTGGGCACGGAAGCGTAGTAGTGTAGCGAGCAGTGATTGGTCCCGAAGTGGGATCAGCCAGTGCTACAGAGACCGGCGCAGGAAGCGGAGTAAGCGTCATGTGGTCGCGGAAGAAACAGTGTGAAGCTCCGAAGTCCAGAGTGAAAGACAGTGAAGCGTCCTCCGGAGCAGCTCCTGGACGAGTGTCTACACAAGTACCTACACTAGCAACAGGCACCTCAGCAACACTAGCACCTAAGCTAAAAAAACTCGAGCAAACATAGTCAGAAGCACTAGAGTCAACATCAGCATACACAGGATGAGGAGTTCCTAAGAGATCAAACAACTGAGAAGCAGACATGCCCCACAGGGCAGCACCGTGCGAGTGAAGAAAAGGAAGCCAGTCAGGGGCAGGGCCGTCGACGCCGTAGGTCGCGCGAAGAGTATTAGTGAGCTAAGCAAAGCACTGACCGGGGGTGTGGCTGCGGCCACAGGGGAGGCCTCGACGAGTACCTGTCTGGACGAGATAGGTGCAGGGAGGTGGACGGCACCGCGCGACAGCTGACGCGGTCTTGACCCCTGCCCCGGAACCTGCTGCTGCCTCTGCTGCTGCTGTGGCTGCTGCGAGAGGAGTGGCTGCTGCTGCTGCTATCGCTGAGTCAGGTACCAAGCCGCCACTCTAGCACCTGCAGCTGGCAGACCAGCAGGTGCCTGACGTACCCGAGCGTCACCTCCACCAGCTGCAACAGGGGAGTCACAAGCCGCTGCACGAGGCGCTCCTCCAACTCCTGCACTCCCGCCATCGCCGCTCGCCACGCCACCTCCGCCGCCTCCGCCGCCTCCGCCCGCACCCTGACCGCCCCTCCTGCCACTCCTACCCCTAGACCGCGAAGAAGTCGTAACAGCAGCTGCAGTAATGTCAGTAGCGGCAGTGGTGAGGGAGGCAGTAAAGGTGGGCAGCTGAGGGACAGTGCACCCGTGAAACAGTGAAGGGGGTACAGCGCCA